GAATTTAAAGACACTATTTGTATTCATATATAATACCCTTTTAAAAAATAAAAGACAAAAAATATATTTTTGATAAATGATTAATTAAAATAAATAATAATATGGTTAAAGTAAAAAAAAATGTCATCTTGAAAAATAAAAAAAATTAATAATTAATTTGAGATAAATTTAAAATAAAAAAGATAATTATTTTGAAACATATGAAATAAAAAATAAAAAAAAACTTTTTATAATAAAAAATTATTTGTCATAAAAAAAAATAACAATTAATTTTAAACAAATTTAAAGTCACAATTACTTTTGGACTGAAGGTTGTAGATGATAATATAATTAAGTACTACAGTATATTTTAGTGTTTTATACTCCATATACTCCATATACTGTAATTAAGTGTTACAAATGGAATTAACGTTCAAAATTAATGCCTATGATGTGGCAAACACCAAGAAGGAGACCTAACTATTTTCGGTCTCCATTGGAAAAAAGATAAACCATAAGTGGAGACAGATATATTTAAAATTAATGGATGGGACTGCCCAATAGAAACTCGTAACTTGTTTGGTGGTTCCGTATTAGTTTCGTGCAAGCTAAATTCTATCACCATCTAACCAAAGTCACTATCTCATGTACTATAGAATAGAATGTGATTATTTAAACATTTCCGTGCAAAAATTAGGTCGCATACCATTTATATATTGATTCAAGTGGGAAAAATTTGATTTCTTTTAAATAAAATTTTAAATTTAAGTCTTATAAATAAAAAAATATGTGCTAAAGGAACTTTCTCCTTAATTAGATTCAATACGACTCGATTCTGAATTAATTAAAATTTAATATGATTATCAAATACCAAAAAATTAATACAAATAAACAAAAAAAAAAGAAATTAGGTCCTGATGTTAAACTTAAATTGTACGATATTTTCCTTTTGACTTTTGAGGAGTGTCACGGAACTTTCCTCCCAACAATTTCTGAAAAATACTTTAGTTCCACTAGCATTTTGTGTTTAGATACTTTCGGAAAATTAGGTGTGATATATTTTATAATTATTGATAATAACACTTATTTTTAAAATTAGTGTAGAGTAAATTATTAAATACAAACTCATTTCTTTTATATATAGTATAAAATCAATAAAAGTATATATGATACAAATTAGATTACATTATTTAATACGAGATAAATTTTAAAAAATTGAGTTAATGATTTAAATGATTTAAGAATAATTTTTAATTAAAAATAAAAAAATTAATTTTAAATTACATAATATGTGAATATAATATAATAAAAAAATAAAAATTATTTTTATTATACAATTAAAATTAAAAAAAATAATAAACTTCACATATTTCTCATTAATCACATAAGGAAAAAATATATAATGTGATTTATATTGTACTAAATTATATAATATATACTATTAAATAAAGAGGTTTTTGTCTTACGGTCCATCCTGAAGCGAAATGCAAGATTAGGGCCATAAAAAAGGAGGGAGAGGTGGACTCAATATTAATAGCTTACATCCTTTGATGATCTTGATTTTACAGTTCGTTACAAGATAGACTGTGAGACAGATTTTACTTAAATAAAATCTTATCTCTTTAGAATTAAAAATATTTTTTAATTTAATAAAATTTAAATTACAAAATAAGGAATCATTGCATTAAAAAAAAAAAAAAAGGAGAGAAAAAGGAAGATTGTTCAAGATTGCACTGTATTGACTTTTCTTCCATTATTTTCATGTTGTTAGTATTAACTAATACTGTGTGGATGTCAATGGGATGGAAGACATTTTGTGTGATGTGACCA